CTTTTTTGCGGGTGGAAATCATAGGATACATTAACACATACAGTAGTAAATATCATGAGATATAAATAACACTTTTCTTTTGCAGGATAAAACATATGTCCGTTGTTCTAAGATAAAAAATAAAATTACATTTGTATTAATTCAAAGTCAGGTTTACGAGCGCATCAGTATCAAAGATGCGAATGATTTCAAATACATCATTTAACATTTTCTCATAATTTTTTGATTTCTACTTTTTTGCATACACATTGTACAATTTCCATATACATTAGAAACACTTTTCTACATACATTTTACATTTTTCAAATGCATGATCAACATTTTTCAAATACTTTGTGGAAACTGGTTTTTGTAATAGATATATTTAGGATATTTAAATATATAAGGAAAAGTGAAAGAGAAAACGAAAGAAAATAATGTGAAAAAACGGATTAAAAGAAACGCGTTGAAGGCCTGTGGTCTGTGTTGGGCTGGCCCATTTTCGCATGTGCTTGAGGCGAGGCTTGCTACTTTCTCGCGTCAAGTGAGAGTTAGTCGCGCCACGACCTGATGTGCTAGCGTTGTACAGTGACTGCCAAATAGTATATATCATCCCGTCAACTCAGTACTAGCGTGAGGCCTCAAGTTGGTTGCTCTTGTCCGCCGGTTACCTGGGTAAGAAACAAAAATTCTCGAATTAAGCGATGCAAACGAAGCATGAATGGTTAGGGATTTCCTAACCATATGGATAACTAAGTATTATTCTCTTTATTCCTATCAATAAGACAAACACACATTTTAAAATTAAACTTTGACACTGAATTGGACCAATCAATTGTGGATTGTATGTGACATTATGTCATTGGATTCGTATTCCAAAGAACTGTTCAATGGTAAAATTTAGGTGGTCAAAGTTGGATTTTTGAATGCTTACACGTCTTATTCATTTGAATGAAGAGAGTATGATACCTACACTTGTCACTGGTGCTCGCATTTTTCTATATTTATTTTAGACTTTTCGCTCTGGTGCAATCCTTAGCGACAGAAAAATATTGCAGTTAGGTTGATAATAGTCGAGTGACATTAGTTCATCAGTGCGAACTAAGGAATCTGTTAGAAATGTTTTAAGATGAATATTGTTCTCTCTTTAATCAGGGATTGTTATATAAAAAGAAATGGAGTTTGAAAAAGGGAATGAAATGCTCATACCGGGACTGCTAGAGGAATTCAATAGCATAACTTGGGCTGGTAGAATATGACGCTTTTAGGACAATCTATTTGTAAAAGAAGACGCTTCCGTCGACTACGAGACACCTATGATCATAACTTCGTTAATCTCAAGATATGATGCCGGCTAGGTTCTGTGAGTGAATATCCAGGCCTACAAAGAAGGCATCGTAGTCGAAGGGGAGAGCCTATCCAAATGTGCAATGGTCACCTTTGCAAACCGAATGGAACTCTTACAACCTGGGAACCCCCGATGTAAAAACGGTATGTGATTCTGCCAACATCACTTGATCGCGCGGCCAATGGGAGACAAATGATGGCCGGTCGGTGGCGCACCATCCATGCTCGATCATCTCCCGTGGTCTGGAAGCGACGACAAAGATTCTGCAAATCAAGAAACGCATGCACGCATGCATACGACCATGATTTCAGAAGCATGCTTCCAAATTGGGAAATGTTCCATTGCGCCGCATGTGCGCGCCTTGCGATCGCTCTCGATCGTGCGACACGCAGGCCACGGGAGCGCTTCTCCTTCGAATCG